TTGGTATGACCTCCTTCAGTTTCAATTAAGGTTTTGGCGAATAATACGCTCATTAACATCTAACTCTGGGTATTTTGTTTCCAGCATAGTTTTTAATTCATTGGATGTCGTGAAATGATCATGTTTAACAGTCATCCCAAGTTGTTATGGAGATAATTCTTGTGGGCGACTGCTCGATGAATGCTTGGGATTTTGCCATTTTTTTCGAATTAAGAAAACATAACGTTCGCAGGAACGCAAAGGAATCCCAGAAATTTTTTGCATTATGGACGTTTTGCCTTAACAAGTTCACAGGTTACTTTAATAGGTGTAGGTGCCATTTAAAATTTAAAAAAAAATCGTGAAGTTTAGAACTTTGTGTTTTATTCTCCCGCTCAATTTGATATTAGTAAACAAACGCTTAAAACGCGATACGGAGATGGTCCAGTACTGTACATGCATAGGAATAGAACGCACAAAACGTATTAGTGATTAGACGCGTATTTTGGAAGAAAATGGAGTTTATGCATTTTATTCCAAAAACTTTTTTCGCGCACTGTATATTCGTAAGGCGTTCTGGCTAAAGTAACTTTTTTTTTCTTAAATAGCACCTCGATCCAGCAAGTTTATTCAGTGATGCCATCTACCACAAGTTTAATTATATTTGCTTTAAAGGGAAATTGCAGTGCAACCACTTCAGCCAAGACGCAACCCATCTCGAACCGCCTTTTGACAGAAGGCAGTAAGTTTTTGTGTAAAATGTCATGTATTACAAGTTAGTTATTTGATTATGTTTGCATTATTATTATAGGGCCAATACAGCGCAATCTTCACAACATGGACTTCTAACAGAAGGCAGTAAGTTTTTGTGTGAAATGTCATGTATTACAAGTTAAATATTTAATTATGTTTGCATTATAGGGTGCCACGAAGGAATCCGCCTCGAGCTGCAAGACTGCGGTAATCAACCGCGAGGTTCGAATAGCAATTACAATGGGAGCTGGATTGGTATTAATAAAATGGGAGGTTTTTTAAATTCGTACTTGAATTTGTTGTATCCTGACCAATAAAATCAAACATTAAAATTGTCAATATACTAGAGCTCATAAAAATGGCCGTTCAGCTTTGCAAAAAAAATAAAAAAAAAAAAATTAAAATAAATAAATAGAAATACATTCGACTTGAGATAAAAAGTGTGCTTTTAAACTTGAAGATTTATACAAACGTTTACAGACATATCGTCTGATTATCTATACATATGTTAGTGTTAATTTCATCTTCCACGTCATATTGCATTACGATCACGTACCGGCCGTTGAGTTATCACACTTGTCAATTGTTGTACCTCAGTTCGGGACCTGTCTCAGTTCTGGACCAAGACAATTGAGTTCTGGACTGAGTGGCTGGGTTCTGAAATGAGACAGGTCCCGAACTCAGACACAACGGGTCCATTAAAGGATATCTTCAAACAAATGCACAGAAACGCAACTATGTCTTGACAGGGAGGTAAAAACCCACGCTAATGAATAGGAATCAATGAAAAAGCCGTCGCTACAATTTTTCGAATAACAAGATAGAATTTTCTGAAACAATTACATTTTGATCTGCGTAGTCAGCAGCCGGATAGCTTTATTGATACGTACGTAATTAGGAGAGCATTAAGACTTTGTTGCTTTGATATCGTGATCCTGCCGCAACGATTGGTATACCTATTATTTACTGAATGCAATAACCAAGCCTTTCACTTGCAAGGTATATCACATTATTCAATTTTTTGAGTAGAGAATATAAACTTCACACTATAATGGAATTACACGTGCAATCACTAACAAGTCCATATTATACTGGTTACACAACATAGAATAAGTCAAAACTTGATTATCGGAAAACCCCCTCCAATCAATATCACTAACATCTCCAACCATATAAACATTCTGATCACAGTCTAGAATTCTACGTATACGCAATTCCATTTCCTAATGCTACTCAATGTGTCCGTTTTTAATAGCCTTTGTTTCCCAAGAAGTTTCGTTAAGCCCAACATACGCCTACCCGAGTTAATGCTGTCTCAAAAACGGGCAGCATTTTTTAACTCTTCTACGTCATTACAAATACGCCGATAAAAAGGTTTTCGGGATACAAGGACCGATGGATTTGGCACTCGTCAATCCGTCTTTTGACGGCTTTGGATATCCACAGTCAATAAACACATTCCCGTCAATGACGCGCCATAAAAATAGTGTTTTTTCTAATTACAGCAATTAATTGAGTTTCGAATATTGCCTAAAATAACTTGCAAAGCCAATAACAAAGCATGCACCTAAATCGAATATTCGGCCGAGTTGAGTGTATATAATTGAGAGCAATCACAGGGCGTAAAACGTATATTCATATGTGGAACAAGTCGCTAAAAAGATTAACCTTACTTTGAACCCTTAAACCTTTCCAAAAAAAAAAAAAAAAAAGCATTCGATCAAATTAGGCGAAAAGAGAGAGTGCACACAAAGTTTATAGTGTGACAATAATGTCTGATTAGGAACGAAAGTCAATAAACAATAATGACATTTAATTATATTGTTTCTATTACTACACATTATAAAAATGCTACTGGTTCTCGTGTGAAAGTGTTGTTCGTTTACAACGATCAAAGTCTGGCTGGGAATTCTGTTTTACTGCTTTGTTTGCTTCACAATCTTGGTCATACCTGCGCATAGTCTAGATCTGTTTATCCACCAATGATCGTTCATGCAAAGAAACACTAGTATTATTAATGACACTATTTACACGAGGTCATGCCGATAGGGCTAACTCGGTAATTAGCCAAACAGCGTTAATACCAAAAGTTTTATTATCGTCACACAATTGCCATCAAAAACGCTGGCTCGATTGATCATCACAAGGCGCTTGAACTATTTTAAATACGGCATACTTCTACCATGATCGGTTTATCCAGGGTTTACGGTTATTTGCCTCTCCTCACCCCAAGGATCAACTAACCCTGCACCAGTCAGTCCATACATAGAAAAAAAAAGGGCATCCGCTAGCCAACAGGATAATTCATAGCCACCGTATATTCATTGCTAACTCTCTTTGGCACACTACTCTGCTATCCTTTCGGAGAACTCTCCAAAATAAGCACTACCATCCCGTCTTTGCAGCTGATTCAGATGCATTCAAATAGTCAAGCATGGACGATTTCAATATGAACATTTCTGAGGCTACTGACCTTGAACGTCTACTAATGGAACATAAGACCCTAGGAGAAACCTTTGCTCTTAGCCCGTCGAGCGTTGCTTCTTTGAGTGGTAGGCACGGTGACTCTTTGGCTTTACAATCAGCCGTCGGAGTCCCGTTATTAGGTAGTAGCAGTAGCAGTGCAAGTACCAGTGCGAGTACCACCACAGAGTTTACCAAGCGAAAGAACTGGTCACAGCGCATCATCGAAGAACTCAAAGATTTCCTGCATGTAATCTCGCCAACCGGTAAATTAATGTATTGTTCGCCCTCGTCAACCGAACTAGTCGGTTATTCCCCGGAAGAGCTAGTAAATCGCAACATTGCCGACTTTATTCACGTTGACGACATTGATACGTTTTTACGCGACTTTAACATGGGCATACAACAAAAGAGCAGCTTCACGGTTCATTATAGATTCCGCAAAAAGGATGACAAGTTTATTATTCTCGAAGTCAATGCGCGTCCATTATTCAGTGAAGGTCCCACTGGTACTAGCACTTGCAAATGCTTCTTTGCGATAGGAAGATCCTACCCCTCAAAGACTACAGCAATGCTCGATTCCTTTCTCGAACTTAAAATAGAGAATGAGAATCTCAAGCGACAGCTCCGCGAGCTTATGGGTCCTCCGGAAGTTCCAGCAGACATCCGGAACGAAGGAGTTTCGGGTGAGACAAAAAGCGTGCTGGATATAATAAACAGTGCTAGTGGTAATCCATTAGAAATGCTGACTGGTTTACAGGAGGGTGAGCGCGCTATAGGCATTTCAAGGGGATCAGCTAGTCCTAATTTGATTAATGAAAATTTAATGGATCTAGATGCAGCATCTGGTTTGATTACGGCTAATAGAGAGGAGAATTTATTATCTAGTATGGATGGTAGAGCTGGTGCTATTCTGGAGAGTTCGGGTCAGCAGAGTGTGTCGCCATCGAAATCGAGGAGAAAGGTACGTATGCATTGTTTCTTTATCGACTATTTGGATCTATTTTGTTATAACTGGAATAGAAAAGCAGACGAAAACGCAATGTCCCTATATTGTAAACAAAATCATGTACGTATTGGTTGTGTATTAGAAAAAGCCAAAGGTTGAAGAAGAAGAGTATGTGTGTACCGACTGTGGCACTGTCGAATCGCCGGAATGGCGAAAAGGACCACAGGGACCAAAGACGTAAGTAATGCTTGTGTGTTTTGCCGTATATCGTCAACAGATTATTGTAACGGTTTGAGCGCCTCATTATAATAGCTATTCGAGCATACACGATAACAATTCTATAATTAATATAATCTAAATACTGTTATGTAGTTTATGCAATGCATGTGGTCTTCGTTGGGCCAAGAAGACCAAACGACAAGCAAGTACGAATACCACTAGTAATCCGACGCTTGGAAGTGATGTTTGATTTTGAGAAAGAAAGTTCAGAGAGACGTTTCCTATAAATCTATCCTTCTTATATATTTAATTTCAACGGTTTCTCCGACATACTATATATGTCGGAGAAAAATAATTGTAGATAGATACAGGAGAACAGTATGTATACGAGGTGGTAATAACATTTGCAATATGTAATCCAACAGATGTGCTATTTTTACAACTCCAAAATGAATACATTAAGTAATATTTATTTTATTTTTGCAGTATCCCATATTTGCAATAAAGAAATATACATAACTGCAATACTAGAAACAGATGCCAATGTCATAAATATTTTTTATTTTATTCCGGCGTAAAACAAACTATTTTGTAAACATCTCAAACCCACTATATCCAAAATCTCCGCGATATTTCATTATGCTTTAGTCTGCTCTGCCATTCTGTTCAACGCACTGCCTGCTTTAAACCATTCAATCTGATTCTCGTTGAAGGTGTGGTTAACGGTAATATCAACAGTAGATCCATCGGCTTTATTTACTTGAAGTGTAAGTGGCTTACCGGGTGCAAGGGTCGTTAGGCCGATGATCGAGACAGTATCGAAAGGGTTAATTTTGTCGTAATCAGACGGATCAGCAAATGTGAGAGGAAGAAGGCCTTGTTTCTTGAGATTAGTCTCGTGGATACGTGCAAACGATTTGACAACGACTGCAGTGCCTCCCAAGTGACGTACTTCAAGCGCTGCATGTTCTCGAGAGGATCCCTCACCATAGTTCTCATCTCCAATTACTACCCAATTCTTACCTAATAGTAAAAATGATATGTCACCGTATCCATTCAGAATGATGTTCATTAAACAAACAATCGACTAGAAAGTCGTAGCCAAGCTTTACCTTTCGCCTTGTACTGACGAGCGACATCGGGCACAGCTTCATATTTTCCAGTTAGAACATTCTTGACAGAATTTACGGCATCATTCTCAGCGTTAACCGCACCAATCAACATGTTATTTGAGATATTGTCCAGATGTCCTCTGTACTTAAGCCATGGCCCGGCCATCGATATATGGTCAGTAGTACATTTCCCTTTCACTTTAATCAGAATAGGTAACTTTTCCGCATCTTTACCATCCCACTTTGCAAAAGGTTGAAGCAACTGCAATCTCTGGCTATTTGGATCAACCGCGATTTGTATAGACATTCTACTCTCTGGCGGGGCTTGATAAGTATCCTGACCAGGATCATATCCTTTAGGAGGAAGTTCAAACCCATTTGGATCACTAAATTTGAACGGTTTACCATTAGCATCATTAAGGGTATCCGTTATAGGGTTAAAACGGAGATCGCCGGCAAACGCCATTGCAGTCACAATTTCAGGAGAGGCGACAAAAGCGTGAGTAGCTGGGTTGGCATCGTTACGTCCGGTGAAATTACGATTGTACGAAGTGATAATCGAATTCTTTTCTCCTTTCTTAACGTCTTTGCGATCCCATTGTCCGATGCATGGCCCACAAGCATTGGCAAGAACAACACCACCAGCATCTTTCAAAACCTCTTCCTGTCCATCACGAGAAATGGTTGCACGTATTTGTTCAGATCCAGGTGTAACAGTAAACAATGATTTGGTTTTGATGCCATGCTCAATTCCCTGCTTTGCTATCGATGCAGCACGACTCATATCCTCATAAGACGAATTAGTGCACGAACCAATCAAACCGACTTTCAATTCTGCTGGCCAATTATTCTCGACAACTGCGGTCTTGAATTTACTCAATGGCGTAGCAAGATCAGGGGTAAACGGTCCATTAATGTGCGGTTCAAGTTCCGATAGATTGATCTCAATGACTTGATCATATTCAGCACCCTCATCAGCACGAAGGTTGTGAGCAAAGGCTTCAGATGCTGCGGCGCTTTCATCACGACGAGTAGCACTGAGGTAGCCACTCATACGTCGGTTAAATGGGAATAACGATGTGGTTGCACCAATCTCCGCACCCATGTTGCAGATCGTAGCCATGCCAGTGCAAGAAAGAGACTCAACACCCGGACCAAAGTACTCAATTATTGCCCCTGTGCCACCCTTGACGGTCAGAATACCAGCTACTTTAAGAATCACATCTGTGGAAAATGAAACAGATTATGTTTGAACTAGACAGTCACGACAACCAGATTTATACCTCGTTCTACGACTACCCAATTTACCATTCCCCGCGTAGACAGAATCCCTCCATCCTACTGTCAGTTGTACCGATACCATACCTTTTGGCGCAGTCCAACCCTGAATGCTTCCGGTTAACTTGACTCCAATAACATTTGGACATTTCAATTCCCACGGAATATCAGCCATCACATCCACGGCATCTGCTCCACCGACTCCAACAGCAACCATTCCCAAACCACCAGCATTTGGAGTATGCGAGTCAGTTCCAATCATCAAACCTCCAGGGAATGCATAATTCTCCAAAATAATCTGGTGAATGATCCCGCTCCCAGGCTTCCAGAATCCAATGTTGTACTTTGCTGAAGTACTAGCAAGGAAATTATATACCTCTTGATTCAATTCCTTGGCGCGCGCAAGATCTTGCTCTCCACCAATCTGAGCTTCTATCAAGTGATCACAGTGAACAGTTGTCGGAACAGCAACGGACGAAAGTCCAGCAGAAATAAACTGCAAAAGTGCCATCTGAGCCGTAGCATCTTGCAATGCGACACGATCAGGACGCAAGCGGAGATAAGAGGTGCCACGAACTATGTCTTGATTTACGGGATCATCCAAGTGACCGTATACTATCTTTTCTGAGAGAGTAAGTGGGCGCTTGAGGCTTTTTTCATTGGAAAAGCAGAGCAGAATAAAGAATAGAGAGAAAAAGAGAAGATGGATAAGAGGAAGCTCTTTAGTTTGCAACTTGATATTAATTCTTACAAGCTAATTGATTCGAACTCTCCAGACTTTATAAAACATCACTCTTTCCGTTAGGTCTATGTCCACATTTTTATTTTATTCCTTCGCTTACCGTTCCTTAATAACTGCCAAGTTATCCTCAATCCTCTTGTAATTGATACTTCTATCTCGCTCAAAATTGGATATGGGTACTTTTTTCCCACTGAAATCGCTTGTTACGATTGCATAAAAGCGAGCTGGTGCCCTGTTGAAGGGCGACATTACGGGCTTTTGGTATATGACAATAGATAATAAATCATCAATTTACGTTCAATTAATAATGGCAACGGATCGAACGTCTCTTTTGCGCAACGCACGAGTTGTGAGTTGTAAAGTACCTTGACAGCCCTCGCTAATTGTCTGGAAAACATTTCGAGCGTAACTTTCTTTTTTCTGATGTGGTTGGGCTTTAATTATAATTATGTGATCTCATCTATTATTATATTTATTTGCATATGATTGGAAGATCTAAAAGATCATCTCATGTGTCAAAAAATGTTTCTGACCAATTAATGTTAGAATTAAAGTGATAGTACCAACATATTAATATATAGCCCCCATGAGATGTACCCCAGAAGGCAGAGTTTGATTTATACCCGGGTACTAACATAATAACAATATTTTTGGCCCTTTGATTTATAGCCCATTCTGTATTTTGATTTGAATGTACATATACACGTTAGCATGATGTTATAATAAATGCACATTTAGCTAAAAAAATAATTCGCTTTATTATTATTATTCGATACATTAAATATTACAAATCGGTCAATTAATTGTAAAGAAGTCGCCAAGATTAATTTGAACCTTCGAATCGCTAATCGTTTTGCATAAATTCTTTTTATCTTGTTTAATTCACGCATTAAATGTTTCAGTTTTTATACTGCATTTTTATTGGTTGAAAATTTTTCTTCCTTCGGTTAACAATAACAAAGGATGATCTTCGGTTAATTCGGGTTACTGCGGAAAATTCGGTTTAAATCCTTTATCTTTAACAAATTTACCCAATTCATATAAAATTCGGTTAAGCGGGGTAATTTCTATATTAATATGGGGTTTGAAAATTCTTCGTTATAACGGGGTGGCCTGTATTATAACAAATGACGTCAGACCACGTGATTGTTGAAGGAATACAATACAAATGATTTTGCTAATAATAATTTCATCGTACGCTTGTTTAGAAACAAATTCTCGTAGTTATCATAAACAACGCATTATATTATAATACGTTACGAGCACACCAGTTATTATAATATACATCATTATTAATTCAGAAGAGCACAGCACAGCGCTTATAAAGCGTCGACCGCCAAACCTTCCGCAAACCATTTACACTCGTAAAATGAACATGGAAAGAACATCTAGACCTGGAAGTAAAAAAAGAATTATATAAATACGAAGCAAACAAACCAACTAAAACGTATAAGGAGTTTGTAAAAAATTCGGTGTTGGCAAATCAACGGTGGGAGATATTATTAGAGAAGCGGCTTGCAGTTCCGAAGTTCAACAGATGCCAATAAAAAACGCAATCGTAGTTGCGAATGGCCACAGCTGGAAGAAGCATTAGCAATTTGGGTAGAAATCTTACGAACGAGGCTAATCATACAGTAACCGGTACAATTTGAGTCAAAAGGAAATGCAATTCGCTGAAAGGTTAAATATTCCTGATTTCAAATCCTCGCAAGAACGTATCAACGTTCTTCGTATCATTGTTAAACCAATGGGTAAATCAATTTGGCTAATTATACATAACTACCATTAAACATGTCTATTTGTTTTTAAACAGGGCTGGATGGCAAACTTCAAAAAACGAAACAATATTAAGAATATTATAAATTGGGAGAAGCAGCGAGTGCGCCGATTAATGATTGCCTGGATTCAGAACTGAGCTCCAATCTGTAATTTTGCAGTATGATTTAGAAGACGTGTACAATGCAAACGAGACTGGTCTCTACTGGAAGTTAGAACCCCATAAATCACTTGCCAGCGGACCTATTAGTGGACTAAAAAAACCAAAAGACAGATCTACTACAATGATTACATGTAACGCGGCTGGAACTCACAAACTACCCCCGCTATTTATTTATAAATATAAAAATCCACGCTGTATTCACCATATTGATAAACGAACACTTGTGCAATATTACTGGAACAATGCATCATAGATGCAACGCTCTATTTTTAAAGCATAAATCAAACAATTTAACAGATAAATGCGGAAAAGGCGAAGAAACATCTTGTTATTAGTAGACAATGCTTCATCACGTATGTTCTTCCACCAAACACAACTTCTCACCTTCAGCCAATTGATCAGGGCATAACAAGTTCATTCAAAGTAATTATACACGTACACGTACATTTTCTCATGTTTTAATGAAAAGAACTTACATTTATTTCTTTGTATTAGGCTCACTATAGAAAATTATTATGCGAAGATAGGATTCGAGCATTTGACGAACACCAAAAACTCGATATGGAAATCCCAAATTAAATATTTTGAACGCAATCAACTGGACTGCACAAGCGTGGGATAGCGTACAATACATCGTTGTTGACAAAGAACAGGCATTTTGCCTGACGAAACGCATGAAGGAGAAATTGAATTAGAGAATGAATTAGAAATCGAAGAAAATGAAGTCCAATCACTTATCATCAAATGAACGTTGACGATATTGTACATTAACATTGATACTAGGATAGAAGTAGCTGATATGATTGATGAAGGAGATACAATTGCCGTAGTGCAGGAAGCACCAGCGGGAAGAGGAAGGGGGGAAAATCCATAAGCAATACAGTATCAAATATAGTTGCTTTGGATAGTATTCAAATATATATATTCAACTATTTACAACAAATCCTGACGTAAAAGTAAATGTATCAGTAATCTCGGGAATGAAAGACTTACAGCGTCAAATTGGAAGTAGCTCACGTTGGAATTTTTTTGTAAAAATGAATTCGCATATCATGTCCAGTGCTTTAATCGCATGACTTTAACCGTATGATCTAATGACATGCCTAGTGCTTTAATCGTATGACTTTAATCATATAATCTAATGCATGTTTAGCTCTTTGACTAATGGCATGACATACACACCCTTACAATAAATTACCGAATTTCACGAAACTTTACTATGAAAAATCTTTCTTTTCAAAAATCTCTCCCGCCCATGCAAATGACGATAGTTCTTGTACGATTTTGAAAAAGATAGTAGCAATCCATTTGTTATATCTTCTTGTATAGCTGTAGCTCAATGAAATTGTGTATACGTGTTTTACACATATAATTATATATTTTTATATCATAATTTAAAGACAACCACTTCAACATGCTGCGGCTTTATGCGGTAATTGTATAAAATTTTATTGTTATTTTTCGAAAAGCGCAATCAATTAACTTTAAAATTATACAAAAACTGTTGTCATTTACATAGCATACATGGGCAGGAGAGATTTTTGAAAAGAAAGATTTTTCATAGTAAAGTAATCATCACGGGGTATGGTCCACCAATTAAATTGAAGAAACTGTATACGTCTTACAAATTGTCACGTAAAACCGGCTTATCCAATTAAGATAGTAATAGCTGGAGCCGTTGGCCGACCGAGAATTTACATAGGCCGACTTACGCAGTAATCGTCGGTCGATAATTTTTATATAGTGAAAAAAAGAGCCAAAATCGAGAATGTGTAGTACACGCATAAATTAAATAATAGCCTGAGCAGATATGCAACAAGTGATGAGCCAGATCGTGTTGAAAACATATCTTTAGTGACATTGCCTGCCCTATTTAGTAATATTAAAAGAGTTAAATTAAAACTTTCTCAGTGAGGATTTTAAAATCCGAAACTAATTATCGTGAACTGTCAATGTCAACGTTAATTAAGTAAATCGAAACCAAGACCCATTATGCTATATAGAACATTCGAAAGTGATTTATCTATTGTCCCTTACTTGATTAACTTATCGTGGGACGTTTCAAGGCTGGGGGCGTTGTAATCCGCAGCGCAAGACCTACAGTATCTTATGGACATCCTGTATGTATTGAATTCGATTTCTGAGAGAAACTTATCTACCTTGCATATTTTGTCGAGACGACGAACTCTCGTCAAAATTTGTAATAGTAATCATTCATCTTACCAGATTTTCCATGTGTAACGCAGTTAAATAAAATGTATAAATCAAACTAGAATGAGTACGGTATTCATCTTTTTTCGTTGCCAAACATGTCCGCAAAATCCATAGGCGAGAGTGAGCAGACGGATGCGCCAGCAGAACACATAGTCACATTTGCACCGCAAACAAACAATGATAACTTCTCTACGCGCGCTCAATTATCATATAGAGCCGGTAACACCGGTATGTAGAGAGTATGAGAAACGATGTATAAGATTATCTTCGTTGACAAGAAAAAATTACTAACGTTTGTTGTATTATTTAATCCAACTTATTACGTTCTTTATTTACATCCATACTTTCACTTACAGTCGATTTGAGTGTTGACAATTCGCCTTTACAAACGGAACCAGGTCGACAACAACGATATTTGGAACCTACACTTGAAGCATCGACGCTCAAATCAGAGGACATGTTGAAAACAAGTTCAGTACCATCTCGTACACCTAACTTAAGCAATGCGTGGGAGTTTGCTGGGTATGGGAAGACATACATGATAGGAATGCGAACTATCGATTGATTACTCGCTCAATCGATAGATGGCGCCATTTCCTAGCGCCCGCGAATATATAAACACGTATACATAATTTTTATCCCTTACAATTGTTGAAATATCTGTTTGTCTCACTCTACCCCACTTTTATCTCTCTTTTTTTTTTTAGCTGGGGCTCAACATACTTTATCGAACTCCATTCTCCTTCGTCTAAATCAGACCATTCATCTGAGACTCTTCTCGGCCAATGGCGAGCGACCAGCTTATCAGGAAACGACCTTGTAGCATCGGTTCTCTATACAATAGCTGTCGTGGTAGCGACTGCTGGTAGATACGCTCCGATATCACTTTTCATAGTCTCGCTTCTTATCTATCCATTCAAAAACATCCTCAACGAAGTCAGCACAACGCTCCCACTGAACGGGGGAGCGTACAACTGTTTGTTAAACACCGCCCCAAAATGGTTTGCTGCCATTGCCGCTGCCGTGTCGATATTGGACTACATTGCCACGGCGGTCGTAAGTGCGGCGACTGCTACTGCATATGCGGGGAGTTATCTAAATTTGGGAGAAATTGGGATATTCTGGATAACTATCGGCGTGCTTTGTGTATTTGCCGGGATTGTACTATTGGGAATAAGGGATTCCGCGACAGTTGCTTTGGCAATTTTTCTGTTGCATCTTTGTGTGTTGAGTATTTTGATGGTTGCTGGGGTAGGAAGGTGGATTACCATTGGGAATGACGTATTATCTGCTAATTGGAATGAAAGTATATCGGAGAATTCCGCTTTGGAAATCTTTTATGGTGTATGCATCGGACTACTCGGCATTACTGGATATGAGACATCGAGTAATTATATTGAAGATCAGAAGCCAGGCGTATTTCCGAAAACCATGCGTAACATGTGGGTGCTCGTGTTTCTAATCAATGCACCTCTGACATTAATAACGATCGCTATAATGCCATTGAACATAATTAATGACCATCCTGGAGACATCGTATCTGTTTTGGGAGAATATGCAGCGGGCTCTTGGCTAAAGATATTAGTCACTGTGGATGCAGTTATAGTATTATGCGCAGGCGTACTCACGGGTTTTGTTGGTGTCAGCGGCCTCATTGAACGTATGGCTTCAGATCATATATTGCCTCAATTCCTCCTTAGGCGTAATCCAATTACCGGAACCAAGCATTTTATCATATTTGGGTTTCTTGTATGCTGTGTTATCTTGTATTCAGTTCTCAAGGGTGATGTCACTTCACTAGCTGGAGTGTTTGCAGTGGCATTCCTGAGCGTGTTGTGTATGTTTGCTATTGGCAACCTGCTATTAAAGTATAAGAGACATCGATTATATCGTCCGATAAAAGTCTCGACCGGAGTAGCGATGTTTGGATTTGCTTCTGTATTTACTGCACTAATTGGGAACATCGTATTCAATCCGAGTCTAGCAAGATATTTCTTCATATACTTTGCTGCCATATATGGAGTAATGATTATTATGTTGAATCGAATATGGATATTAAAGGTGAGCGTGCTGCAAAAAAAGAAGAAGTTGGAACTGAACAGTATCAATAACAGAATGTCAAATTGTCAGTCATATATAACCACTTAGCCCTATCCGCTAAAAATCGTGGATATTGCATTTACTCAGTATTATTTGTTTTCACAGACGACCTTTTTCTACTTGGACAAAATCGTAGCTCTTCATAAATATAAAATTGGTGATATGATAGTACGAATGATAAAAAGCATCAAGAAGCAACCCGTCATATTTTTCACTAATACGGACGATATTCACATTTTGAATAAAGGTATTTCTACACGGTTCGTGATAGAGCTATAAATAACAGCAGAGTATTTACCAGCTTATATACCACATATAGCCGTATTGTACATCAAGAACAATGAACCAACCGGTAGGTATTCATGTGACTGCGTAGAAATCTAATAGTAATGTCATGTCGACAGTTTGCTCTATTGCTAGGCACGGTCAAGTTTCTACACTTGTATTCCAATATTGAAGACGTAAGTGAAAGATGATTATAGATTATGAAAGGAAATTTATTTAATATTTTTATTTTCCCGTGACAGATACCTCAACGATTGGAAGCCAATCATCAAATACTCGATGAGGTAACTCGAATGCGAAACTTGTCTTGATTTATTTTCAAAGTGAATATTAAACTAACATCGATCCAACGTTGTTTTTTTCGCTTGTTTAGTTATACCCAAAAATCCAAATTGACTTGGTATCTGGCGGACTAGATTAAGCTGTTGTCATATTTGCTTATCACACTAATTACGTTTATTAACATTGGGTTATTCATATTACTTCTTCTAGATGTTCATCCAATGTCCATTCAACCCAGAAACAATCGATGCAATATCATCACAGCTAGATATACCTAAATCTCTAATGTTCATTTCTTGCCCCGGAGAAAACTTTCGCATAGGGGAATTCTGTGGAATACGTACCATCATGCTATGAGTCGTAATAACCCGGAATTGGTAAAATTTGTAATGAAATAATTTGATGAAAAAGAAGAAGGAAATTCGGATGTGTTGCCGGTATGGGTATATTAAACCCTCTTATAAATAATAATAATAATTTTTCAAATGAATGCCATTAGGCAAAGATTTTGGGCGATGTATTCTAACAGGTGGATCATTATATAAAAACCACCGAGACATTTCTTATTGCAATTCAATCCCTTGAGGAAAATAAACTGTTGTATCAAGGAGAATGGAAGGAATAATTTGTTCCTCATCACATAAGGAACGACGCTGGGGCATACTCTGCTATTCGTCTGTTATTCTTAACTTGAAGTCCGATCGCTCGCCAACCTTTGAATGTGTGCAGCGTCGAATGGTAACACGCGCGTTAGCGTTGTGGAATAATGAGCGTTTAACGAAAATAAAGGATACGTTTCTGATGACACAGCGATGGACGAAAACTAACGTAATAAGATAAAAATGATCTGTACAAGCAAACACGGCCGATGCAATAGCACGCAAGTACCTATGTTCCTTATATATTCGGTGAGAAATTGCCGGAACTCAGTGAACGTGGGATGAGAGCGGGTTCTAAAATAAATAGATTGAGTGGTTGTACCTGGCAAGTCGAATAGCCGGGCTTCTTAACGTATGGTATTCAGAAAGTTCAGTAAACGTCAATTCAGACTTTCGATAAACAAAAGCAGCGGTGGCCTTAAACGAATGAATTACCCTTTGAATCGACACAAACGATACTATGGCGGCTATTTTCGCTTCGCTCAATATTTGGACTAAGGAGTCGCCCTCCTTTTTCAAGCTTTGAGATAATTAAGGAGGACGTCTAATGCTGGTAGAGAGGCCGACTTATTACTCATGATAATCAAATGACACGCCGTAATCAACTTTTCATTGTTTGCCCGTTGGAGATAGACTCGTCGCTCGGGCCAACATAAATTTTGGCATACTAATACGGTAATCATAATTGTTAAGTGTAAATTTAAGATGACGTAACTTTAGTTTACCATGTCAGTTGTCGACTTTATTAGTTCTACAATAAACCATTTTTGGAGCTGAAATACGGAAGCATACGAAGTTTCAAAGATTATTCGGTCTTGGAGAGGGTCTTGTGGCTTTGACTTTAATTACTATTAAGTTTCTATTGTGTAAGACTTTATTTCACAGCCATGATTGCGCTACTTGGCATACTAGAAAAATTGTCATCTTTTACATGTGGAGAATCAAAACTTGTCTATCACGTGAATAATATGTTGCGTCAATAACAAAAGGCCATGAACAAATTTGATTTTCCATATTGAGCCTCTTTCTTAAATATCGACAAAAAAGGAGGATGGCTAAAGCGGAGTAGAACGTGACCTGATTCTTGCAATTACATTGGTCAAATTTGTATATCAACCAATGAAATTGTAAAAAAACTACTCCGCTTTAGCCTACCCCCAAAAAAGGGTTGAAAAGTTACGCCAAAAACCGACTTATCAAGCTTCTCATGTATCGCATCAGGACTATAATAAATATTGTACAAACAGGGTTTAAATTTAAACCTGCCTATTTGGGGTGTCAATTATTATAACCGTTAATTTATTGACGATCGTCACGATCATACCAGAGTGGTCTATTACTATTGACATATTAAATTGCATTTACATAGAGTCTGTAATTCCTGGCAAATTTTAAAAGACATACCTTTTCACCGACCCAATGACGATAACAATGTGTTCTTTTAAACCCCTTTCAATGCTATCTCACTTATTTGACATCTTTCGGCGTAAACACATCAATGAGACCTGGTATGAGTCAAGTTACTTATTCGGGAATAGACAATTCAGGAAAATCATCTTGGCTTATCTACCCGCTGCTACACAACCCTGTAGTCGCACCAACTCTATCTTCAATACAACACAAGATAGACTATACGCTTTCCTCTCACCTTTACACATACCGTTTTCTAAATGCGACTTCCCTCATCCCAACGCAACGTAGTCGAATTAGAAACAATAACTACCTCTTCTTCTGATGACGACCCACCCATCCTGACTCCGACGTCTTCGACGGACATTTTTCTGAAACCAACCACTACCACTTTCGACTCTCTACAAACTCCCGAAGACGGTACTAGCATCACTGCTCCTGCTCAATGGCACAAAGCAGTTCCATCAGGGATTATCGAGCGGATAAATCGTGGTGCAAAAGCATCTAGAAAAGATTATGTAGAACTATCTCAGAGTGGTGACGACATGGGTGAGAATAAAGAAGATTCGACCGCAAAGTTGAAGAAACAAAAGATTATGTTACATGACGGTTTTAGCGAGAGTAAACCAGAAAGGAGCTTGGCTTTAGAGGTTGGTAATTTGTAAAATCGGAAAAAACTGACTGATGGCCCGTGGCATGGATCTAATCGCTTACTTGGATGCTTTCCATGTGATGAGCGTGTTGTATTCCCATCATGACGACAGAATCGAGGATAAGAAAGAAGCTACTGTTTATTTTATCCGCGAATTTTTATTGTTCGCCAAATTGACCCATCTAATTTATTTTTTTCACTAATTTCTCTTTTCTTTTGCCCCACTGCGCTTCCTAACTTGACAAGGCAATGCCACCTCTGTTAATATCTGTAGCAGGGTTGATGTTTACCGGCTGGCTTTTGGATATTGTTCAAGTAGGTGGTTTATTGGAATCGGTTGGAAGAAGGGGGGGGGGTTCTTGTAAAATAAACTCTTGACTGGAAGAATGCGATATGTAGCATGTCAATATTATTTATGAAACACCCGAATTCTCGCTAATCTGTCGCGTTGTCGTATTTCCCCTATCATCGAACAGTGTTTGCAAGTAGCAAAAGTTCTCATCATTTGTTTGCGTATATTTATTTCTTATTTTTCTGGTTCAGGATTGGAAGGTTTTTAAACGAATAAACGAATTGTTTATACTGGTGCCGGTGTTATTAAACCTAAAAGGCAATTTGGAGATGAACTTGGCTTCGAGAATGTCAACCTCGGTATGAATTGAATTGGAATGGAGAGAGAGTCAAAGGATGTAGATATAAATGAGGTATTATGGCTGCCGCCATAATATACAGTATAGAATTCACAGAGAATGTGATGAAGTTAAAGGAGTCAATTGATGAAAATATTGGAATGTTATTCAAAGCGCCATCAAAATTAACTCTATCGAGTCTGTCTACTTTACACAAGTCCAACTTGGGCGAACTAGATCAAGCATCAGTCCGGGACGCATTAATCTGGGGCAACCTTGCTCTTCTCCAAGTCCAAGCCCTAATCGTAGGCGCAGTTGCGGGTTTCTTCTCCTTCAGTGAAGAATTGGTTTTTCACCCTCACTCTAATACGTATTCTGAAAGTATGCTGGTTATTGTAGCGAGCATGGTGTGTGCTACGTTGAGTAGCATGATACTGGGAACATTTATGTGTGCTTTGATTATTGTGTCGAGGAAATTTAGAATTAATCCCGGTGAGTTTGTCGCGTGAGAATGAAAGACGATCATTGGGAAATAATGAGATTATGCTAACAAAATATTTGTTTAGATAATATTGCATGTCCTATGGCATCAGCACTGGGAGATTTACTTACTCTAGTTATATTGGCTGTCTGCAGTGACTTTCTACAAAAGTATATGTGTAAGTTATAATTTTCTTCATAAGTCCTGTTATGCATAGATAATTCGACTGACTGATTGTCATATTGTCTAGTTACTTGGTTGAGCACTTGGATGTTCGTAATTCTTGCATTCAGTATCCCGCTGTGGGCCCGTCTTGTATGGACTAATAAATACGTACAAGATTTACTAGTTAGTGGATGGGTTCCATTGTTTGTAGCAATGATAATTGCAAGGTGAGATTGTAATATCTGTTTTCACTTATACGGTCGAGTAACTCGTTAACATAAAACTCTTTCTTACCGAATAGCATTGCAGGCCTAGTTCTGGAAAGATATATCAAAAAGTACCAAGGCCTAGCCGTGCTAACGCCTGTATTGAATGGTACCTTTACGATATTTGCTTGATGTTCATAGTTTCTTTAACAACGATACGTATTTTACAACTGTTCATATTCATGATAGGGCTAGCCGGCAACCTAGGCTCGATTTACGCCTCACGAATATCAACCCGCTTACATAGCGGTACTGAAGAGGATTACAAGTCCTCAGAGAAAACGTTGTTCCTTATTCATATACCCATCGAAATCCTATTTCTCTTATTTGCATGGTGGTTGGATCTCGGACATTTACCGTTAGGATTCTGCATAATATACTTTCTGGATTCAATTGTTTGTGTAAGCTGATGTAATTGGTGTCGGGGAAGTAATACGTGTGGAATAGACAATCGTACCGGCATGGTCAATAGGAGGCGGGGAAGGAATTAATGCCGGCACTGAATTAATTTATTGCTATTGCTAAATGCGAAGTGTTCTGGTCTATAAACAATATTCTGACGCGATATTCCTATTTAGGTATTATTTACCCTCATTCTGACAAAGAATTTGACACTATGGTTATGGAAACACAAATATGATCCCGATAATTATTCTATGCCGTACATGTAAGTAACTTCAAACATAATTTACTACTTGTCGACTATTCAGATTAATTGAATGATGTCTTGTTTCAGAACGGCGATAGTAGACGTGGTTGGTACTGGGTTGTTAGTTCTATCATATTCGGCATTAGGTATGCTCAATGAAAAGATTGAAAAACATCACTAGCTTTATTATAATGATGATCATCAAGGATATACGCTCTGTCAAAGCATATTTATTGGAGACAGGGTGCATTAACACGTTTACCCATTTTCAATTTACGAGATTGGAAAGTGTCTTTACATCACAACCGTGTCTACTAATGGGACACTAATAGAATGCGTGTAACTGTAGAACAATTTGTAGATAGATTATGGCTCTCATATTACATTTACAATAGACATAATAAGTTGACTAATTGAACATTAGAAAATGCTCGCCTTCAAAGTGGGTTTAAAACATGTAAGTGAAATAATCGGAAGTAAATATCAAGAGTATGGGAACAACAATGAATTTTCCTGCGAAATTGAACTCGGTACGCACTCCAATACAATCACCGAACATAGCTCACCATCGTAGCTTGTTCGGCACGCAAACGGAGGAGAATGACATCTAATCCTATAATTCTGGGTTAGCTCTTTGTACATTGCAGCGTTAGCGATATGAATTCAATCTTTACTATGAATTCACATCAATGTATAGGAGAACATCAATTTCGTTATGGTGGATAAATTTGCAAATCCAAGAATATATTATATTTCGTTCTAGTAAATAAATCAGCGGGGTCTTTGGACAACAGACATCGGTTTATACCTAATGCATACTTTTGTATTATCGCACAATCTTGTAGACAAAAATACATGTAAATGTACAGCATGAGAATATACCATGCTTGTACTTAACGATTAGACTTGGCAACACGTTCTATAAAATTGGGAATATTATAATGAGTATAAAGACTATTACGGCTTTAACGAATCAGAACTATCCCATTCAACCACCTATTTTAATTACTTACCCAACTCATCCTTCTTTTTGATTGCATACGAGTTTGAGCTTCCCTCTACAGAATTGTATGATGTCAGTAAGTTGATTGAGCAAACGATTGTTCATCCAATTCAGCTTATACATACTTGCGGCGTTTATGAGCTCATCCGCCAAACACTCGGCAATGCTCTTAATATTTCGGAACGCTGATTCACGAGTCTACAGCAACAAACGATGCCACAATTTAATCAATACTTTCACAAGAGCTATTAGCAATAAACATGCTCCCGTAATAAACTCACCCCGATGGTCAAGAGAGCAATAGCCTGATTAACTCTCCTCAAAGGCGACACATCCACGGCTTGTCTTCTAACAGTGCCAGCACTCCCAATACGCGTAGAATCCTCTCTGGGTCCGGTATTGATGATAGCATCTACCAGAACTTGAATAGGATTCTGATCGGTGAGTAGATGGATGATTTCAAATGCGTGTTTGACAATGCGGGTAGCCATAAGCTTTTTTCCGTTATTCCTCCCGTGCATCATCAGTGAATTTGTTAGACGTTCTACGATTGGGCACTAGCAAAAGAAAGTATAAAATGCTGGTTAATAATTGAAGAATTGCAACATATGATTATAGACGGGCAAGTAGGAATGAAATTACAGCGCGAAATGCGGAAGTTATGGAAACGAATTAATATTGATCGATCCATTAATTTCCATCGTTTGTTCGGGGCTTCCTACCTGTGCCTTTCTGAATCTTTTTGCGGAGAAGCGACCAGCTGTGTGGGGCAAATATACATGATTGCGGATCTGAATGTAGTCTGTCAATGATATGTCTTTGACTTCTACATCGTCAAAACTCCACTTATTAAACAAGCGGACTTGTCCAACTTCAGCAACAACCTCGGGAGGAAGACTGGTCATCTGTTTAGGGCAAAGATTTAAAGAGCTCAAGCTATATTGTCAAATGTATGCGGTTACCAAGTAATAACCACACATACCGTTTGCTCAAGTTAGATTTGAGAAAGAGGAAGAAAAGATTTTTGGTGTGATACATTTTATTGGTTGTAAATATCCAACCACGTGGACAATTATGGACACGTTCAAGTAATTAGTATGCAATTAAATAAATAAAGGATCCATTTTAATTTTGCATCGTCAGATTTAGAACAAATTTAAGCATATGAAATCACTCATATTCGAAAAATTTATATTTAATATTACAGCAGAATTGATGGCCAATTTCGTCTTCCTCTTAAGAGAAAACGACTTACTAGAGGTACTATCTCTTCTCCATTAGATTCTCCGCTAAATTGTCAATAGAAAATTGTAGGTTATTAAACTTCTGATTCTATAACAATCAAAATGTTTGAGCTGTTCCAAATTTAGTAAATGGTTGGTCGAGAGGGATTTAGTAGTAAAGTGGATCGGTACAAAGGTTATAGGTACAGCGAGATTTGACGATTATAAAGCTGGTTGTTCAGCAGATCTCTGTAAAAAACTCAGCTTGCTATATAACGTTGCAATTTTATTTAACGCCTATACTGGTCGACCTAGCAAGATTTCCATGATATTTGAATAAAATGTCTTTTGTTCCATTATGAAATTACTGATCAAGTAAGCATAAATAAATTCAATGAACATAGTGTATACCAAATCAAGGGGAAGGAATGTTATAGCTCAATTGGAAATATCATAATGAATCCTAATACTAATAGAAAGTCACGCTTCTTTTATATCTAATTGAGATGCAATTTCTTTCTATTGTTGTCAGAGCATGCAGATGCCATTTCTACCTTACATAAGTTTACTCGGGGTGCCATGGCAACTACGTGCGACTGCCACCTCGGACAAAGGATGAAAGTGACATCGCAGATTCTGAAATCCTCGTGATGCCTTCGGAGAATATACAGCGTGCTACAAAATTAAAACACGTCTAGCGCGTTATGTACGCATGCAATTTACTACAAAACGAGCTTGTGTTTTGAGCTAAAAGCCATTATTACATCAACTTTTGAGATAAGTGCATATGCAATGCCTCATTCAAAAGAAAAGCACAACGTCCGACTTTATTACAGTTATGGAACAACGGTATTTAGAATGGCAAATAAATTCATATACAAAATGATATCCACTCAGCACCATCCATGACAATATCAAAAAACTAAAAAGACAATGATCTCAAGCATACTTGCTAAATTGCCAAAGTCTACCTGCATGAAAATGTTCCAGAGATGCTAGAATAGCCGTCCAACAGTCTGGGCTTGAAAACGTGTGGGCAACTGTAAAAAGTAATGTAGAGAAGAGAATGCCCCGAAGAATCGAGAATTTATGAAAGAGGAGTGGCAGAACATTTTAGGCATTATGGTAATTAATCTTGTAAATTCAATGTCTAGACATTGTCAGAGTGTAAACAAGAAAAATGGAGAAAGGATTAATTATTAATTTATTATTATAAAATCTGTGGAGTTTCATATTTTATAAATTTTGGATTACTATTACTGTAGCAGTGCAACATTTTATTATTTTTTTGATTCCAGATAATTTTGTAACACACTGTACATTATCATTTAATGTTATATATGAGCATACTGCAACAAGACAAAGTGAACATTTGAATATGTGAACTAAAATGGCCGATGTGGCTGGAATTAAGGGAAGGCTTTGGTTTAGTGACTCATGCAAACTAATTTTTCATTGCAATTTTAAATCTAATCATAAAACTTTTTACTTGAAGTTATACCATGATTAATATAGGATTATCTCTATATAAAAAATATAGTATGAAACTAATTTACAGTTCGGCAATAAAGTTGTACTATTGAAACTAATTTACATTATTGCCGTTTTCAAAATCTCGTGAGACAGATCACCTGTGTCCTGCCGCGCCAATCAGATTGTAATCTAGCCGCACCAATAAGATTTAACCCTTATGTTGGTTGTATTACAAGGAAAAGCCACATTTCTTGCTCTTTACCTGTCCACACAACTCTCCAATGATGAAAAATCTTCAACACTCGTTTTACTGTCGAACGGTGAATGCAGAGATATTGTGCAATATCTCTCCTTGCCATTTGAGATCTGTGCACCCATTATGAGAACTACGAGTGTAATATATCGGTCAACGTGCAATGTCTTGGAAATGATTTGGACATCGACTGGTATTGCAATTCACCAGTATCTCTTACAAAAAGGTTGATGTTGGCAGAGCTCAATGGCAAAGCATACCGCTAGTGAGGTCAGAAACAGAATTGACCTGCAAACTGCGCGAGCTATATTATGTCTGAAGAGCTGGTTAGTCGATGACAAATTTGTTCAAAATCGGACTTAATATTAAGTTCCCTCAACTCCAGCAACTTTTACAAACTGTCTGTTCTGTAAATCTCACTAGAGAAGGACATTATTTCGCCTTTGATGAGGCACTTGAATTTTTTGGAGTTAAATATGTTAAACAAAATATAAAAAGGTTATTAGTGATGAGGACCTTAAGCTTCAGATAAAGGCAGTACAAGTACAGTCTGAGAGAGCAATTACAGACATTTTGTTCTCAATATTTAATGGTGATTACACCAATACAGGCGGAAGTTACGCTAAAAATAGTCGATCTGAAGCTATTAATCGACTTGCGGAAAAAATTCTGGAAGCATTATTTCTCCATCACCAGCAGAGCATTGGTTATTTATATTTAGAGGATGCAGTCAACTTTCTGAAACTGGATATAATCGTATATCTAATTGCTATCAAAGTGGAGTGCAGCGTCTAACAAAATATTATAAGCAAGCAATATTCACACAGAACCAGATGATCCAACGGGAAGAGCAGCTACTGGGGTAGCTATAACAAAAGTTACAAATTTAGGTTGCAACTAGTATTAGGGAAAGAGAAAGCTGAATTAAGGCCAGGACGGAGTCGACTGGTTGGCTCGGAGCTTGAAGTGAGGTATATGACTTATACGTGTAAGTAAAATAGCAAATAATCTTAATAATGTCACATCGTTTATTCATCTAATGTACTTATTATTATTATTAATTAAAGTAGACGATCACAAAACAATCACAGAGCCAATATCAAAAATCAAAAAAAGAATGAGAAAAAAAATATGAAAACTCTTCTTACATCGATAAATAGACAGCCAGTAAAATTATAGTTGAGTATGTGACTCATAAATTGACATATTATTATTATCCTATCATTATTTGTTATTCGTACTGAGACTTTGACTATTACTTCTCAGTCTAATACTAACATTTCTTCAATGTGTGTTGCACCGATGATATAGCAGAAGACCGAATTTCGGGTCGGTAATTTATTATGATTAGTAGGGTCATATTGCTTATTAACTAAACCTAATTATTATTTCTGTACTAAGTAATTGGCGAATCTAGAATTATAGATTTATCTCTTTAATAATAACGATAACAAAATTTACGAATAAACTTTAATTTGGTGCTTGATCAATACGTGATATTAAGTACAATTTTGAGTTTGCATATAACGATCTGCTTTTCTTCGAAAACGTGAAATCAATCTTCGTCACTAGCATTACTAAATCAGCAACCAAGAATCCTATACTTATAAAATTTACATGTATGTTAATCATAACTGTTGTCAACGTGTGTGCAAAAATTTGACACAGAATATTAAGTGAATTTTGAGTTTGCATAACGATCTGCTTGATGTGTCGAAAACGCGATGTCGATCAGGTCAATCGTTATATATTATTACTAAATATAGGGAGGAAGAATATCGAAGGAGAATAGAGAATCTTAAACTTTGATTGCAAGAATATGAAAACTAGTGCTATTCATTTATTCATTCTGGATGTGATGATGACGTAATTTGCCAGCATTTCAGTAAGGAAGAACGTGACGAAATTGAATTTGCATCCAGCCCACAGGTATAGAATGTCACAATCAAACACCTGACAGTTATAACAAAAATTTTACCTCTAAACTTGCTTTTTCGAACAATTTTGCGTTTGCAATGAAATAGGTGTTTGTTTTAAAAGAATCTGTTGACAAAGTTTCACCTGGCAAAATATAATAGTATTATATATAGTTTCTTCCTACATTGCACATAGTTTCTTCCGTTGCAATTAGATGCTGATATGGCTATTCTAATATTAACAGAATTCTATTCATAAACAACATTTTTAATAATTACCACTTTGTTTATCACAACACCCGTTTTGGAGAGACGAGGGAAAGAAGATTCCGTAAATAATACATACATATACGTATATGGGTAAAGCGAGAGGGAAATGCGAAATCTGTGACTATTCTGTTAACAGACCACTGAGTTTTCTTGTATACTTTGAAATACAACTTGCTACGACGACAACTACCAAGTTACGCAAATTGACACGGAATATTAAGTGAATTTTGAGTTTGCATATAACGATCTGCTTGATTTTTCAAAAACGCGAAATCACTAGAATCCCTAAATCAGCAACCAAAAATCCCATGCTTATAAATTTATTAAGCATACCTGTTGTCAATGTGCGTGCAAAAATTTGAATATTAAGTATGATTTTGAGTTTGTATAGCAAATCCGTAATCTTGAGGTTGATAACCGGCTTTAGTTCATTCTTTTAACTGGTGGACGACATATTAGTAAAGAAATAGTTGACAATAGTCAACTAAGTCTGAAATCATATCAACTTCATAGATGACAAAACTTCATCATCCATCCTCCCTTCACTAAATGTGGGGGCTACCAAAACTCCAATAACATAATAATTGGGGAATTTGGTAAGAACTCCCTCCAGATCTCGAAGAACATCAGGACCTAAGAAAGTATTGATAATCATTATATTTATCATCATTATTATGATATTAACATAGTATTTACTTACCAATTGACTGGGAATGATTCTTACACTGTATAACAAATACAATGTTGTCATAATATCAACTCCCTCATCACCGCCATCTCTTGGATCCGAGCTAATAAAATAACTATATGAGTAATTATATCATAATGATAACCAATGAAGAGCGTTCCAGGGCTGGGTACCTGACTGGCAACTGTGGCCACAGTGCGCTTTCAATTCAATAGTCAATGTATCCTACGGCTTTCAGTAATAGAGCTTCGATATAATTTCACCCTTGTGCTTCCAAAAACTCTGATTTACACCTAGTGGCAGCGTAACTTCAGATACATACCTTTGGATACACTACTGACTACTCAACAAATACTCAGTAAGAAATGTATTGCTTACCTCAACCTATGAGCCCAGAAACCCTCTCCCCAAAGACTCCTAATAATAGCTCGTTTCATAACGTAAACCGACTGAGTACTAGTACGATCAATTTAAAAATTTTTTATTCATGTTCATGTGACATACAAATACCAAATATTATTGGCCAAATCTATGATCAACGAACACCTCGCGAATGTAAACAATCATAGATCAACATCCAAAGTAGAAAAATCTATGTCGATCATCAAATCTTCCTCCAATAAAAAAGACATATTTTCTTATGTTGACTTCGACATTTACATTGTCATAATGATAACATAACTTGACATAGTAGTTTTTCTTTAATAATAGGCCCCGAGCCCATAAGAGCTCTTATAGGCACCACCATGCTTGCCTCAAAAAACGCAGTGGCGGTGATAGTGGCTCTGGACTATTCAGAAGAAGGGAGGCACCATGCAACAGTCCTCCTCTGCACGCCAGATAACCTTGTCGAAAAATCTGTGCCCATAAAGGCCCAGATCACCCACTTCTTTGCGGCGTTGTCGGGCTTCTTGTAAAATCAATACTTTTTTAATAAAAATATTTTTCGCCATCACTTTGTTATTAGTCTTTCAGTTACATATTTTTCATAGAAAAAATGCTAAAGGATATGCATAAAGTATTAGACATTGTATGTCTATTGTGTTCATTAAAATACCAAAACGATTAATTCTCCGAATCGAAGTTGCATTGATGCATTCAAATGATTATGATCGTATACAATGGAACGAAAATATGCGGTGCTGTTACAAGAAGTATATAATATGCACTAAGCTTAAGTGTTGGCATTATGTTAAGAGTAATAGATGTTATAACAATAATCTTAAATGATTTGACGTTACAATACATTATTTTTGGTTTGCAGTCGCAGCAACCTCACAGCCTCATTTTGATTACTGTTGTGGGCATTGAAAACTGGCAGTTATTTGTCACGCCACTCCATATATTTGCCGAGACCATACTACAAACATGGCGGATAGGTATAAAATTTTTCAATGTAAAAGGAGCGGTATCTAAAACTGAGGGTGTCACTCCCTTCATGTGGGTATTTATAAAAGTTCTGGTTCTAAAGAATGCTGGGTTTGTGTTTTTATACCATATCAAAATATTGCTGAACAGAGATCACACATTTGGTAGCAATTTCTATTTGGATGCGATGCATGCGTTGGCATTACAACTGTGACAGCTCAAGTTAAAAACATCGTAATACATACACTAATGTTTCTAAAATGCTCAACGTTATATGCTATTCGCATAGCAACAACATGCTAAATAGAATGTGTGGAGAACAACAGAGTCTTGTATAGAAGACTAATAACGTTATAAGCAATTTCCATGCCTGTTGTTATCGACACTTCATATCCGCGTGGCTTAGATGTTTCGGTCAACATTCTGTATTTTAGTATAATAGATAATAAGCTAACATAAACATTCAATGACAAACTAAATATAAATGTAAAATCACCACTAAGCCTGCAACTTTATGCCCACCCATAATTAGGACAATACTAAAGACGAACAATATGCTCCCAGAGAGCGCTCAGATAATAATAACAACATCAAACACTCGTAAATTGGGAGAAAATGTAGCCAAAAGCATATGGCTTCATGTGACCAAGTAAAAAAAAAAAACAAAGACATTTTAGAAATGCCCAATTCATTAGATAATTATAAAAATGCGTTTCCTCAGATTCTGATAAATTTATTTTACGGAATTATTTCTACACTGTATAAGGAACGGCGAGCCAATAATCGAAAAAGTAAATCGAAATCCAGTAGTGAGAACAAAATTATGATGATAACTCTGTTCTTGTCTTCAATAATTTTGTCGACAGCATTCAAAAATACGAAAGTCTGGATCACACGTACTTTGGCATCGGGTTTGCCAAAAACCAAAATTATTACCATTATTACAGACATTTCTCAGAGCAGTGAATGCTATATCACACACCAGTATTCACGAACGTCGGTTACAAAAATAGCGCATGCAAGTTACAGTTCCTGTTGAGCGACTTCAAACTAATCCGTTCATCTGGAACGTGTGTGTAATTGACAATATTGACTTGGAAAAAACGACATATAAATATGGTAATATATATGATGCAGCTCGTAAAACATTTCATGCGACGCTGCGTATGGTCTGCAAGAATTAAACTCGATCCCTGACAACAAAATTTGACTTACTATGGAGCATTATTTATTCGGAGAAAACACCCAAAGTGAAGGCTGGTTTCAAAGGGTGAATGACGTTTTTAGAAACTTGGTTGCATGTCCAGCAGATATCGATCTGCATAATATTCATGAGATGTTTGTAGAGGGCATTAAAAATCAGCTGCAATGTGGAAAAACCAAATGTCGTAATTCTTGAGGCTGGTGATAAACCATCATTTGATCAGAATATTCTCAGCACTATTTTGAGGGCTTGAAAATAACTGAGGAATAATTTGGGTTGACCAGGCAATCCACTAGTGACTCTTAAAAATCCAAGACAAGCACAAGCAATTACAAGTAGGATGTGTCACACTTCCAATTCCATGTGTAAATGCACTTGTGCTTATTTTTTCCAGTTATGGAATATATAATAGCTTGGTGTAACATTTCTGGAAAACAATGGAGACTATCATCTGGTTGACAAAATTTCACTTCCCTATCAAATTTTGTGAAATGTTCAGTGACTATGTAAGAGATTGCAAGTCAGAAAAGCTAATCTAAAGACCTGTGTTTTGTCGTGCTGATTATCACGAGAGAGCAGGTAATAATCAACACTAGGAATTTAGCTAGTTTCAGCAGAGCATGGAGTTTCCTTCTCTAGGTAAATCTCGGGTTACAGTTAGTGACCTTGTCCAATCAAGGCTTTGCACTTACGAAAACCTTCCTGTCGTAGAGTGATGCTAATCCTGGATATATTGATTGTACTCGAGTAACTCTGTTGGCTCCTAAGATGGGATTAATTCTTAGTCTACCATTGGGGTACAATAGTATTTTAATTATAATAATGCGCATCTACATAACAATTAATTATCATAATTTGCCGCTCGAATAATTGCAGGACAAGAGGCGATTATTCTTCATCGATATAGGGATTAGCAGTTTCTCAGCTATACTGATAAGTTACCAGGGAATGAATCATTAACAATATATTTCAGAGTATAAAGAACTACTCATTTATTTACTACTCATTATTTACAATAAAGGAATTGAGAGTAATTAGAACATTCTAAACATGCACTTATTGACTTACTGTCTATTTAACTGAAATCTATGCTACTTATATGTCTTTTGAATCTAACTGATCTATTTTTAGCAGCTATTTCTAATCATCTGCAGCACTGCTACAGTGCTGTTTGTACTCCCATAATGTTTGTACTGCATACTTGTACCATGTGCTGGTGTTACTGTAATGCAGAAATTTAGGAGAGAATACATCACTGTTTATAGCATAGCATCACAGCTTCTACTTTTTTATTCTTTGGGGCTTTAACTGTCTTTTTATTATGTATACTTATGTAACATATAAAAGCTGTGCCCAGTAACAAGGGAAATTACTGGTGATCACTGGTGATCACTGCAATCTTGAAAACAGTCCTCAGCTTCCCGCCCTGTTACTATAAAAGAAAAAACCATCCAGGATTAGATGCCATTTTTAATTCAACTCATGGGCATAGGCACCCTGACCTTGTCTGTTGTACTAGTACATTATCACTCCTACAGTATGAATGCCATTGTGGTCATGTTGAAGAATCTCAACTGCTTTGTAATCTAGTCTCTTCAAGCTACTGGTCAATCCAAGGTTCAGGTGAGCTGTCTGGCTGGCACCCAGATGATTATGATGAGACAATTAGATTCCTGCAGAAGGCATTCTATGAAATTGATATCAAGTCAACCTTTTCTGTGGATCAGCATGATCCTGTCCAGGCAAATATCTCGAGAAAGCTCAAATGGTCAGGGCTGATTACTGAAACAGGGGATCCAAGTCAATGGCAGTTTGCTGCTCCCCTTGTATGTATTATTATGGGTTTATGTAAAAGACTTTGAAATAATGTTAGTAATCTCAAAGTCAGTGGATGGTTTATTAGATGTTCAGCTAAAAGTCATCCTTTATTAAGCAAGATAATGTTCTTTTATAATACATATTAATATTCCACAATGATATCTGTATATAACTATGATGAATATATGATATAAAATATACTAATACATATAATTATGACTACATAATAACTAAATAATGATGCAAATAAAGTGTAAACATGTTACGACATAAATAATATACTAAGTGGTATTGTCTTCACTATTACTCAATGATTATGATACTACAAATTGTTACAGTTTACTTATTACTATTACTATGCCTGAATTCCTATACCCCACAATTGAATGCATGTGTCCATCAGTCTTTACCAATTCACTCAGTCATGGTAATTATACAAATTCACACCTGTTAGGAAGGGACTGGAAAATGGTGTGGTATCAGCTGCTGTGCCAGCAAATGTGACAATCAGTCCAGATGTCAGACAGGTGTTTGGCTCTGCTGGATTCTTGATTTTTTTGCTAATGGTAACTTAGGTTGGGCAGTGGAACTTATGTGAGAAGGTCAGAGGATGACAGATAATGTCAGTCATTTTTCTGATAGAGGCAAATATGCATGTGTTTCTTTCACAAACTGGGCCATTATTAACTTTTGGCACAATACCAACATGCCCAAAGCCAAACATTTGGTATGCATTGTCTGTAGACAATTATAAAACTATCACCATCAGACATCAAAATAGAAAAGATCTAACTCTAACTCTAAAGGGTGATGACCTTGCTTTCTCTTGAAAAGTGTGAGAGATATTCATGAAACAGTAAGATGTGCCTCAGCACATATCATTGTTTGTAAATGTTGTAGCTGAAGTACAAAAAAAGAGCAATCAGTTTGGATTGACCCACTAATGTAATTAGGACATCTCTCTCCTAATGTTTGGCATTCAGTATAGTGTTATCTTCGCAGCATAATTTATCTTCAAATGGTCATGCAATGTTTTACTTGTGTAATTGGGCGAAGTTAGGTATTTTGACTAATTCTTCCATAAGGAGGATAGCATTACTATATGGGGCATGCTGCAACAAAACCAGACAAAGTGAACATTCTATAAATGAGAGACAACGAAGGGTTTGTGCATGGCGACCTGCGCGACGTAAATATCCTATACCGCTGCATGGACAATTCGACTGATGTCATTTTCGTAAACTGGGATTGGGCCGGCGAAGACGGCGTGGCCCGTTATCCTTTGACGATGAATCCGGATATTCCTCGACACGAGCAAGCTAAGGCCGATAGTCCAATTTGCAAATCACATGACTTGTATATGGTGGAGCAAATTTTCAGATAGAATATAAGTATTTTGAAGATGCGAAAGGAGGTAAAGCATACCTAATATGCACCAAACTATTCGAGCTAAAACCGGACAAATAAGTCCCGCACCATAATATTGTCATGATTTGTTGCATGGGTAATAGCAAATAGGTGTCCTTTATGAATTCTAAATCGGACAGGATTGCGTTCTTTCAGTAACATCTATTAATAAGACATTTACATGAATTAAGAGTGTGTGAGTGGACTTTTTTTTCTCATGCAATTTAGTTGTAATCTGAAAAATAAAGAGGGTATAAGATTGCAAGCTATAATGTGTGTTGAATATTACATCTCGAACATACAGTTTATCATCATACGATTTATAACCTGCTGCAAACTTTTTTTTGCTAATACGCGAATCTATGATGCGTGTTAGGTTATTGTACTTCAAACTCATAACACAATTTATTGTCGAACGCAATCTGTTTGTTAGATATAGGTCTAATCATACAATTATTACTCGATATCGACATGTAACTTTTAGTAATATGTTTAGATTATAAATGAAGTCGCTTTTTGTCAATGTGTGCGAATCTAATCGTACACGATTTTGCATTGAAATTATTGAGTCTGCATTCATGTCTGGACATACACTTTCTCATTCCTGATCGAAGTGTTGTTTTACTAAAATACCAATTATAGAAATTGCAAAAATTTGCAGAGCAGTTAAAAATTACTTTTGACTTCGCCCTTATGCATTACCGCATTTAGAAGACAAAGAGTTTAGAAAAAGTTTTGTTCGTCTTATATACATGCATCACAATACACTTGATTGATACATAAAAGTTGATAAAGAAGTTAAAAATTTACAATCCTTAACAATTAGTTTAGAGAAAGAGAGAAATGAATTGCACCGATACTACTGCATCTTAGTCTTGATGATGACATTGAATCTCTCTTTTACATTATATATGTAGCATGTGATGCCGTGCTCAAATGGAAGAAAGGTCTAGGAAGCATGGATTTGGTTGTAGCAATGAAGTTTACACAGTATATAGAAATTTTAGTAAACAACTGAAGTATGTAAAGAATAATGAACTGCTCCCCTACTTGCATAGATTTCGCAACATCATTGTTTCCAATTGGACGGATAAAATGACAATAGACATTGACGCAGTTATTAGGGTGTTTGACATTAAGTAGCTATTCAGCATGAGAGGAAAAAGGGAAGGGAAATGGACTAGTTACAACACTCTTTTAATTCTTTATCATGTGAATCGTGATTTTTTGCTTCTCCAGATGCAATGGTACAAACTTGCTGTCAATTTATTGCTTTTGATGTATCAGGTGAGTTTCTGCTAACAATGTATTTGAGTACCATGATTAAAATTAGCATGTCATAAATATGAATGAATAAAGTAAGAAACGCCATTGCTCAATAATAATAAGGAAATTAATGATGTTGTTTTGTATAAATTATCATCTCGAACGAGGACACTTATAATTTACGCGTACATAGTAAAGACAACAATAAAATATGTACGTAAAAATTATAAATCGTGTGATTATATTGATTGTAAGTGCGTATAAGAACACCCTTACATAGTTGCCTTTTTTTCCCCGTTTTTTGAAAATAGCTTATCACAAATAGTAAAACAATAACGGACGAAAGAAATTTAGTAAAAATATTGAACCATAAAATTTATATATAGGATTACCCGTATATGAAAAATTATAATTATAATGGTTCGACTGAATATGAAAAAGCCATGCGTTTCTTGGAGATAGGTTGCAATTGCGGTTGCTCAAAAATGATTCCGCGAGAAAAGTTTGCCGAATTACGTGAAGCGCTTCAAGCTCTCTCCAGACCCAAACAAGATATATTTCTAATGGCCCAGCTAAAAGCAATGAATGGTGGAGAAATAACTGCCAGCCGACGTCTTAAAAAGAAAACGCGTGCTAAGAAAAGAACTTTTTGTTATTGAGAAAACGTCAGAAACCATCTGGCAACGAATGGTATAATACCGCGTGTTCATGGTAATATCAAACGAATGCCGCGATAAAAAACTAAAGTAACCATTGATATAACCATTGCTACCGCCGTGAAGAATTTTCTCGAAAACTATGCTGAAACCAATGGATTGCCAAGTCCTGGTAGAAACGTCAATCGAATTACCCAATCGCTTACACTTTTACCAGCTGAAACGAGTTACAAGTCAGTCTATCGTGATTTTATTGCAGGTCTTGAAAATGATAGCACGTTGAAATTGTTAAAATATGACGCATTCCGCAAGTTATGACACCAATTAACGCCTTATATTCAAATTATGGGTCCACGAACGGATTTATGCGACACGTGCCAACATTTTCGGAACTGCTTACAATACAATGCTCGCAAGGAAGAAGAAGCGAAAGATTTATTGAAAAAATTCAAAGAACATCTAGTTAAAGTTAAGTTAGAGAGAATTATTACAACAAAAATACGAAATTTGCAGAAGAACAAAGAAAATTAGTAAATGAGCTGTTTATAACAAGAGGTAAAGCTGATTATTGTAGTGTTGACGCGACAGCTCATTACAGTTATGACTGAGCACAAAATGTTCACATACCCCATTCCGACCAACAGGTAAGCAAGATTTATTATCTCAGTCCACGTAAAGTGCATTTATTTGGTATTCAAGATGAAGCAGTATGCGAACAAATTAATTACGTTCTCGACGAAGACCAAATTATCGGCAAAGGTCCTAATGGCACACTGAGCATGGTATTCGATGAAATAAATAATTGAATAAAGGCGAAAAACATTTAAAGATTACCGTATCCTTTCGTGAATAAGGGCCCACCTTCAATTATATAATGGGGCTATATCAAGAGTAGTCGCGTTGGGTCGAATGGCGCAAATTTATGTTACACAGGAACGTATGAAAATGGTGCGGTGAAAATTTTTTTTTCTGACGTTCGACGACCTTCGGGCGTCTCAGCTCCGTCACTTCCTGCGGCCAAGTGGCGATGGAAGCCGCGAGCTGCGCGTTCATGAATCATATGCGGCCAAGTGGCGGTATGGTTCCTCTGGCGCACCTTACATGTCAAATGCCATTGTCGGCCAAGTGGCGGATGGTCTCTTTGTGGTAAGGTCAACTACAGGTAAGGCCGGGATGACGCTGCGGCCAAGTGGCGAGCTGATTCCTAAGATAGTTTTCAATCTGTTTGTGCGGCCAAGTGGCGGCAATAGAATTGAAACTATATTGCAAGGTTACCGATTATTACTACAACAAGACTAACCTGCTATCCAGCCAGTTCAATTCATTCCCATATTTCCAGCCCTTGAAACCATTTCCACATCACCACAAACCAGTTACTGGGACCATTCAAACAGAAGTCTAATGAATAGCAATGGGCAACTAGGAAGGCAGCTGTTAGAAGGGGAGTATATTATAACTGAATTTTCCATCAATGTTAGATGGTTGTTACTCATCTTCCTTGATCCTCATCACTGCTAACTGCTCACTTTCTGAATAGCATCTAGACCTCAACTCTAACATATGCAAACCTTGTGAAATCATACAAGGATTTGTTTGTTGTCATAATAATATTCGAAGTGAATTGAAAACTAAGCAACTATTACTATTAATGAAAGAAAGGTTTCATCATTTACTCTATCTCCTTTTGCTGCAACATGCCTGACTTGTTCCAAGCCAAGTACAATTATCTCTTTTTTCTTTTAATTATAATTAACTAGAATACCAATCACCAGCAAACACAACAACTTTCAACAACTGGTTATTTAATTTTTTATTCCAGTAGTATGTATTTTAATGTAAATTGGTTTCATATATACTATTATTTTTATATTAATATAGGGGTAGGCCTATATTACTCACATTATGGTTTATATTCATCACATTCTGGTACAGTCAAACCTCGAAAACCCCGATGTGGCTGTCCTCACCTTTTCCTATCGGTTTTGCGAGGTATCGGTTTTCCGCGTAAAACCGATGTTGATACAAATATTGGTTTTGGGAGGTTGTCGCTTATCATTGGCCAGTTCATAAATTCAATGTATACTAATTTATTCTCAATAAATCGGAT